TTCCCTTCAGATAATTTCTAACAGCTTCTCTCTACCCACTCCCCACAATTTAAGCAGTCACTAATTCATTCATATCTGTTTTATTTTTTTACAGTAAATCTGACATCCTCTTCTTCCTATTCTCTCTCCTTTCAGTTCCAAATCCATGTCATGCCTGACAAATTAACCTCTTAACCTGTCACAACACAGTGAATTTCCTGTTCTAATACATTTCATCAACTGAAAAAGAGTGTCAGCATTGTTTAAAAACAAGAAAAGCTTAGAGTACCCATTGCATGAAGTCCACACTTTGTAGCTGGGCATTCTAGGCGAACTGGGTTTTCTAGCCTTATCTTCACTATCTCCTTGCAGTTAAATAGGACAAGTCAAAAAGATCCCTCTACCAGCCCTTGTTCTTTCGTACCTCCAGACCCTTCCTTAGGCTATCCTCTCCACCTCAAGTGCTCTTTTCACCCTCTTTGCCCCTTAAAGTGACTCATTCTTCCAAACCACTTCAAAGGTCTTCACGAAGTGTTTTCTAGGCTTCTCGACAAATTTTCTCTTTCCTTTGGGTTCCAGCAGTACTTGGCAGACAAGATGCGTTACTATGTTATAGAAAAGAGAGAGGAAATGTAGAGGGATCATTCCTGGCTCCCACTGAGGTCCCCTTGTCACTAAAGCTGTGCTTTTTTCCCCTGGCCTTCTCCATGTTCCTAGGCCACCCTTTGTCTCTTTCACCCTCCATATTTATGCCAGTTAATTCCTTCAATCCAATTTTTCTCAAATTTGAGTTAATTCTATAAGTCCATGCTGTGGAAAGGCCTGTGAAATTATTCCTAGAGGCTTGACCAAGCAGAGTTTGTGGGAAGCTCAGGACTCAACCTGGTTTGAGTCACTTTTTAAACAATTAACATTTACTTACTTGGTGTATTCTGCTATTTTGAGAGGATAGTGATCATTTTTTTCTTTCTAGAACTAGATGCACTACAATGTAGACTCCTGGTGTATGTTTTTGATTTTACTACTCTGTAATCTCATCCAATTTAGTCAGGATAATGCATGCATTCCATTGTATATCTACGTCTAAAGAGAAATAGCTGGGTAGTGACATTTGTTCACATTTTTAGCCATTGACTTCTAACTGAATTGAATGAATGTGTTGGAATGCATATGCATGCACAAGTGTAAAATGTATGCTTGGATGTGTACTTACATGCACATTTTTTAATCTGATTTTGGTTTTGTGTTTCTAGAAAATATTCTTTATCAAAATTTGTTCTGAAGCATCACAAGAAAAGTGTAAGGTGACAGAGAGAAATCCAGCTTTAACTTTTAGTCCTTTGTCCATGTTATTTTGTGTTAGAATACTAGCTACTTCCTTTTAGGTTCCATTTTGCAGGGTTCAGGTAGGAGTGGACTGCATGGTACTTTACTGTTGATTGAGAAAAATAACCTCCCATTTGCTTGCCACGATGGATTTCCTAGGTTGTTGATGCCTATTGCTTCAGGTCTGCCTTATTCCCCAGACGGAGTTCGCTGGAATCGAGTGATACTTAGAAAATGACAAATAACCCATCACCTCTCAAGCAGCAAAAGGCAATATAAATGCTTCTCAGGTAGCTACGAGGCCTGTCGCTATAAATGAGCCAAATAGATTTCTTTTGGCTTTTCTCAATCAAGAAATGTGCGTTTTACTTAGTGTCCATGTTTATGTATATTGCTTTTTTTACTTTTTTTTAATAAGATGAATGGAATTCACCCACTTTGAATTTTTTTTATGTGGATAAAAGTACAACATGTCTTAAAATCATTTCCATTGATGGAACACTCAATTAAAAATGACAGCAAAGACCCCTTTTCTTAAGGGCACATTTTAAAACCTCCAACTATATATTTATTATACTAAATAGTCTTAATGGAAGCCATATATAGTGAAAAAATCTGAACAATCTTTGCATAACAACACATGTACATTTAGCCATATATGGCTATCATTTTATATATATGCATGTGCATACACACACACACTCAAACTTGATGAAATACCTACACTCACTTGGATAATACTATATTTTTAAAACCCTTTGACTTACATTATTTCACTGATTCAAACAGCCTTACTATGTACACAACAAATATTTTACACTTATTTTGCAGATGAGAAAACTGAGATTTAAGGTTAATTTTCCAAAGTCTTCTGTCTGGCTACTTACAAAGTGAGAAAAGAAGCCAAATCTACTTACTCCCAGTCCAGACCTCGATCTGTTACACAGTGCTGTCTCCTTGGAAGTGGTGTCCTGCTGGAACCTCTGATTTTATTGTTCCTAATATGTGTTTGGAAAGTTTTGAAATTGTATACACTCATGTGATAAATTTCTTTTCTTTTTGAGGACAAGTTCTGATCTGAACTCAAAGAATTTAGACTGGGAGATGAAGTACCAGATTACTTTTACTAAAATTATATATCCGTTAGAAGTGTTTGTGAAATTATGAAAATTAAGAATAAAAATAATGTTCATATGGAATTTCTCATCTAGGTATTTGTCAAACCCTTTAATTTTAGCAGTTTGGTGAGGCTTTTAGACTAAAATCCTAGACTCTTAAATCTCACATTAAGATCTTAAATTTAAAAGTTTAAACCCTGACTTCAACTTCTATTTCTGAGATTTCATGAGGTTTTGCACATGTTTTCTATGTTTAAGAAAGACAAAAGAGTTGTAGCTTATAGGTTTTTGGAATTGCAGTACACACTAATGGAAGTCATCTACTGTGATAGCTTTAGTTTTGAATTTCAAATGGATCTTAAAAATTTTTTTTTTTTTATAAGAAGCTCAACACTTGGCCCATAGTAAGTAATCAGTAACCATTTGTTGAAAGAAGACATGGATAATGGGAAATCTTGCTGCTAGGTATTAAATTATTGTTCTTATTCTTAGCGTTTAGCTTCTGTGGGATTGGATGCCAAAAACACAGTCTGCATTTGGGACTGGAGGAAGGGAAAACTTCTGGCCTCAGCCACTGGCCACTCCGACCGGGTAAGAGGACCTTGTTGGATCAAGTCATGCGATTGCATAACTTGAGGGGCAGGGTCGGGTTGTAATAGAGCTTCTCAGAGCTGTAATGCTTTTAAAAGTAAATTTGCTACATGCAGATTTTCCCTACTTAAAAACTTACTGTTTTATTAAAAATTAATTTTTGATTAATAGTTATGTTGGAATGATCTCTTGGTGATAGGATGCTTTGATACTGCTTTTCATAGGCAAAGCAAAATTCTGAAACTGGCATTTAGCTTCTTCATAAAATCAAAATAGAATTGAATTTGAAAATATACGTAAGGTTTACATGTATTTGTTTAGAAATGGAAATAGTTGTTAGAAAGTAATATTCACAAAATAAGTTTATAAGCATATATATTTGAATTTCACATTAATATAATGACAACTTTGTAATTCTTTGTTATATTTGAGAAACTTGAATGTAAATTATGGCCTGCTTATCATACATATTGAAGTCAGTGTGATCAGAAATGGTAATTCCATATAGTCATGGCTGGCAAGACAGAATTTGAGCAGACATAGTCATTAACTGGTAAGAAATCTATTTCTCCAGTGTCTTGCATGGTTAAAATAATTTGGCTACTTTACTGTCTTGATTTTCTAATAAAGAAATAATGAATTTGCATGACTGTCTTACATTGGTTCCTAGTTTTGTATTTCTGCACAATATAAGTGTTCGTGTAGAATGAGGCCTTAATTAAATATTAAGTTCACTGTCTCTTGTTTAAGTGTGAACTGTAAAAAAATTTTTGTGTGTGAATATACAGTTGTCTAGGGAGAATTGTGATTTTTAAGGAGACTCCATAGTTCTTGCTGCAAATTGTACTTGAGGATTCAGTCCTCAGAAAGTCCAGGAGTGACCACCATGGAACTTTAGTGTTGGAAGAGGACGAACATCCCTCTGGCCCAATGGTTCACACCCCTGGCAACACATAAGAATCCTTGAGGGAGATTTTACAGCTTACTGATCCCTGGGCTCTACCCCCAGGTATTGGTATTAATTTATTGGTGTTTAATTGATATTAGTACTTAATGAAAGGTTGAAAATATTTTCAATACTTACATTTTGGATATTATTGTTTTTGCTTATGCTGTGATCCCATTATATCTTATAAAGTAAGTTGAATTGGATTGGATCAATATGTGAATTTCCTATTGGTTTGTTAATGTTTTGTACACTTTCCAGTTAGGAGTAGATTGGAAAAAGTATAATGCTATAGTGAAAACTCAGTAATTTTAAGAGCCTAGGCTGTTTGAATGAAATACTGCCTATTTTTTTTTTTTTTTTAAGAACACTGTTCTCCCAGGCCCCATAATTTGTTTCACACACAATTTTGCTCTTCATCATTGATGCCAATATGAATTATTATTGGCTGCTTATGGGCAAATGATCACTCCAGGAGTATTTTAGTGGCTAAAATTCTTAATCCCTAGCACTCATTTGTATGAGTGCTTTATGGGCTACAAGATAGTATATACATTATCTTAATTGACCTCATAACTGAGGAGGTGTCATTCGTTTTAGAGAAGATGAAGTTAACATTAGAGATGCTAAGACTTGCCTGAGCTACATAGCTAAAATGGGTTACTGGACCTCATTGATACTTGGACCGAATGTTCTCCAGTGCTCTCTCTCTGGTCCATAATTGTTTCCTTCTACCTACATGAAGGTTATATGTCCTCCCGTCTCTGATGATCAGTCCATATTGCCCCTTCCTATGTGGTGAGAAGTTAGCAGCCTAAGTTCTTTCTCTGGTCTAAACTCTGGCCCTGACAGTGTCCTTTTTTCTATTAGAGCTTCACAGAATGTGGTCCATGGACCAACAACATCAGAATCTCCTGTGGTCTGTTTAAAAAATGCAGATGCCTGGACCCAGTTTCAGACCCACTAAATCACAATCTCTCAAGTGGGCCAGGAACATACGCACTTTACACAATTGCCATGGGTGATTCAGCCCTCAAGGCTGACAGAGAGTCTTCTCTTCCTTGTTTCCAAGATGAAAATAGAAATACCTGCAAACAGCTTTTCTTAAAGAACGATAAATAATGTTAGAAGATGTTTTCAGTTCCTTGGAGAACTGAAAATATAGTAGTATTTTGGTTCAGATTAAAATGATGGCCTATTGAAACTATTTTAGATGAGCTAAGTGAGGGCCAGATAAATGCCTCTGCCTTATGTTCAGGAATATTAACTTTTATGGTTGCCACAGTGAATTATAGTTGACTATTAAACATTTTCCTTCTTAAAATGAAGCATTTTGTAATTCTTTTATTTTTATTGTGAACCTATCTCGAAAGTATTTTATCAGCATTGTGGAGAGCTATAGAAAATTTTATCAGAACTTTATCCTAAATCATCACAATTTATCCTAGGTGGACAAAGTTAAAAATATGACACTACGTTGTTTTCAGTGATTGTGGTTAATTATTACTTCTCTATTCAGTCCTAAGGTAAGTAGACATTAGGCAATAAAACATGTGTTGTCAATTTCTGACTCATCCCCAGAGCCAAATCCTCCATTTTTTGGTCTGCGCAGGTAACTCTGTGTTCTGAGTGCTAGAGTAGAGTCTTAGCAATTGGACAGGTGTCTGAAAGAAGACAAAACACATAAATGACCAACATAGCAATTTTTAATATTTTTTAAACAGATTTTTGATATTTCCTGGGATCCATATCAGCCAAACAGAGTGGTTAGCTGTGGAGTAAAACATATAAAGGTAAAGTAGTTATTTTAAAACCTTTTTTGGTGCCTCGTATGGAAAGAATTTATATGTATATAATTCGGTATTGAGAAACTGCTCGACTTTACATTTTTTTTCTTAAATTTAGAGCCTTCTTACCTGCTTCTCTGATCTTGAAGCAAGCTACAGCTGATGGGGCTCTCCAGAAATGCAGTGTAACCAAAATCAAGTGAAGTGCTCAGCAGGCAGCTGAAAGGGAAACTTTGTGTAAATTAAATATAAACTGAAGACGCAAAATACTTCTAGGATTGCCTGTTTTAAAACAGTTCTGATTTTTAATTTTGTGAATTAAGTTTTCACATTACAATGAATGTTTATTCATATTGCATGTCAAAACTTTTGACATGTTGATATGTTCTTTTAGAAGGAAGGTGTCTCGTGGTGTTGGACAGAGAGGGATACATAGTACAAACCTACCCGGGCCATTGATTTTTAAATGCCTCTGTCTTCCTCTAGACTACAGTCTGAAATACTACTAGTGGCCCAGGCCCTGCCTGTGGCTATTTGCTTCTTCCTATTTAGTTACACAGCAAAATTAACACCATCAACATTCTTTGACATGTCAAAAATTTCTCCTGGATCCTTGGAAATGGCCCAGGATCTTTTCTATAAA